GAAATATCTCAAATAAGGAACCTAACATTACACCTAAAGAAGCTAGAAAAATAACAAGAAACCCAAATCAGAAGAAGGAAGGAAATAATAAAGATTAGTGCAAGAATAAATTATATAGAAATTTTAAAAACAATAGAACAGATTGATGAAACCAGGAGCTGGTTCTTTGAAAGGATCAACAAAATTGATAAACCTTTAGTCAGACTCATCAAGAAAGAGAGAGAGAGAAAGAGAGAGAGAGGGAAAGAGATAATTAAAATAAACAACATCACAAAAGAGGAGAAATAACAAGTGACATTGTGGAAATACAAAGGATGGTAAGAGGATATTATGAAAAATTATATGCCAACAAACTGGACAACCTAGAAGAAATAGATAAACTCCTAGAAACATATAACCTCCAAAAACTGATTCAGGAAGAGATAGAAAATTTGAATAAACTGATTATCAACAATAAAACTGAATCAGTAATCAAAAACTCCCAACGAACAAAAGTCCAATACCAGATGGCTTCACAGGCTAATTCTACCAAACATTTAAAGAAGAGTTTAATACCTATTATTCTCAAGCTATTCCAAAAAATAGAAGAAGGAAAACTTTCATATTCATTCTACGAGGCCAGTATTACCCTGATACCAAAACCAGATAAAGAAACTACAAAAAACAGACTACAGGCCAATATCTCTGATGAACATGGATGCAAAATTCCTCAACAAAATATTAGCAAGCCAAATCCACCAATACATCAAAAAAATAATTCACCATGATCAAATGGGATTTATTCCTGGGATGCAAGTGCAATATTTGCAAATCAATCAACATGATATATCACATCAATAAGAGAAAGGATAAAAACCATATAATCCTTTCAATAAGTGCAGGAAAAGCATTTAACAAAGGACAGCATCCAATTATGATAAAGAAAAGTCTTAATAAAGTAGATTTAGAGAGAACATACCTCAACAGAATAAAGGCCACATATAAAAACCACACAGTTAGCATCATACTTAATGGTGAAAACTTGAGAATTTCCCCTTAGATCAGAAATAAGACAAGGATGTCCATTCTCACAGCTTTTTTTTAATGTTTATTTATTTTTAAGAGATAGAGAGACAGAGTGAGAGCAGGGGACGAACAGAGAGAGAGAGGGAGACATAGAATCCGAAGCAGGCTCCAGGCTCTTGATAGCTCAGAGCCCAATGTGGGGCTCGAACTCACAAACCGTAAGAGCATGACCTGAGCCGAAGTTGGACACCCAACCGACTGAGCCACCCAGGAGCCCCTCACCACTTTTTTTTTTTAAGTTTATTTATTTAAAGAGAGAGTGTAAGCAGGGGAAGAGTAAAGAAAGGACAGAGAGAGAGAGAGAATGCCAAGCAGGCTCTGCACTGTCAGTATGGAGCCCAATGAGGGTCTCAAAAAAGCATGAGATCATGACCTGAGCTAAAGTCGAGTCAGATGCTTAACCGACTGGGCCACCTAGGCACCCCCACTCTCACCACTTTCATTCAACATAGTACTGGAAGTCCTAGCCACAGGAATCAGACTACAAAAAGAAATAAAAGGCATCCAAACTGGGAAGGAAGAAGTAAAACTGTCACTATTTGCAGATGACATGATGCTATAAATAGAAAACCTTAAAGACTCTAACAAACTACTAGAACTGATAATTGAATTCAGTAAGATCCCAGAATACAAAATCAATGTATAGAAATCTGCTGCATTTCTATACACCAATAATGAAACAAGAGAAAGAAAAATTAAGAAAGCAATCCCATTTACAACTGCACCAAAAATAATAAAATACCTAGAAATAAGCCTAACCGAGGAGGTGAAAGACTTGTACCCTGAAAACTATAAAACACTGATGAAAGAAATTGAAGATGACACAAACAAATGGCAAGATATTCCAAATTCATAGTTTGGAAGAACAAATATTGTTAAAATGTCCATACTACCCAAAGCAGTCTATAGATTTAATGCAATCAGTATCAAAATACCAACAGCATTCTTCACAGAACTATGACAAATAATACTAAAATTTGTATGGAACCACACGAGACCCCAAAAAGCCAAAAGAATCTTGAAAAAGAAAAACAAAGCTGGAGGTATCACAGTTCCAGATGACTACAAAGCTGTAGTAATCAAAACAGTATGGTACTGGCACAAAAACAGACACATAAACCAATAGAACACAATAGAAAGCCTAGAAACAAACCCGCAGTTATATGGTCAATTAATCATCAACAAAAGAGCCAAGAATATGCCATGGGAAAAAGTCTCTTCAATAAATGTTGCTGGGAAACCTGGACAACTACATGCCAAAGAATGAAACTGGACCTCTTGCTTACACAATACAGAAAAATAAAGTCAAAATGGATTAAAGAACTAAACATGAGACCTGAAACCATAAAAATCCTAGAATAGAGCACAGGCAGTAATTTCTCTGACATGGACATTTCTAATATTTCTCCTGAAGCAAGGGAAATAAAAGCCTAAATAAACTATTGGGACTACATCAAAATAAAAAGCTTCTGCACAGCAAAGGGAACAACCAACAAAACTAAAAGGCAGCCTGATGAATGGGAGACGATATTTGCACATGACATAGCTGATAAAAGGGTAGTATCTAAAATATATAAAGAACTAATAGAACTCAAACCCCAAAAAACAAATAATCCAATTAAAAATGGGCAGAAGACATGAACAGACATTTCTCCAAAGAACACATACTGATGGCCAGCAGACACATGAAAAGATGTTCAACACCACTAATCATCAGGGAAATGCAAATCAAAACCACATAAGATACCACCTCACACCCATTGGAATAACTACGATCAAAAACAGAAGAAGCAGCAAGTATTGGTGAAGACGTGGACGAAGAGGAACCCTCACGCACTGTTGCTGAAAATGCAAACTGGTGCAGTGACTGTGGAAGATAGTATGGATGTTCCTCAAAAAATTAAAAACAGAACTACTCTATGATCCAGTAATTGCACTACTTGGGATTTACCCAAAGAATAAAAAAACACGAACTTGAAAGGATACATGTACCCCTATATTTATTGTAGTATTACTTACAATAGCCAAATTATGGAAACAGCCCGGTGTCAATATAATGGAATATATGGTCCATCAATGATAGTAATATTCATCTATATTTTTTATATATGAATGATCTTTTTTGTGGCTGAATAATATTCCATTATTGTATATATTTTATATAATATAAAATGAAATATTATTTGACCATAAAAAAGATGTGATGTGATATACAATGGAATATTATTCAGCCATAAAAAAGAATGAAATCTTGCCATTTGTAACAACATGGATGGAGTTAATGCTAAGTGAAATGAGACAGTCAGAGAAAGACAAATACCATATGATTTCCCTCAAATGTGGATTATAAGAAACAGAATAAACGAACAACAGAAAGAAAAAGAGACAAACCAAAAGTAGAATCATAACGATAGAGAACAAAGTGATGGTTACCAGAGGGGAGGTTGGTGGGGGGATGGAGGAAATAGGTGAAGGAGATTAAGAGTACACTTACCATGATGAGTACTGAGTAATGTATAAAATTGCTGAATCAATATTGTATGCCTGGAACTAATATAACACTGTATGTTAACCATACTGGAATTAAAATTTTAAACTTAATTTTTTTTTTTAATTTTTTTTCAACGTTTTTATTTATTTTTTTGGACTAAGGAGAGAGACAAACAGGCATATGTATGAACATGGGGAGGGGAGGAGGGCAGAGAGAGGAGACACAGAATGGTCGGGAACAGGCTCAGGCTCCAGACCCATCAATGGCCTGTGTGACCCAAGGAGCCTGGCTATTGGCATGCTTGAGACTCGAACTCTGGACATGAGATCATTGACCTGGCTGAAGTCAGTGTAACCAACCATTGTGTATCTCCTCATGAAATGCGTATTATATAAACTTAGTCCCTTTTAATTTTATTTTTATTTTTTTTTTAATTTTTTTTCAACGTTTATTTATTTTTTTAGGATAGAGAGAGGGCAGCATGGAAGCTGGGAGGAGGAGGAGGAGCAGAGAGAGAGGAGGAGGGAGACACCTGGGGAATCAGGAGGAGAGCAAATCCAGGCTCTGAGCCATCAATGGGGCGTAGTGGCCTAGTAGCTTGGGAGGCTTGAACTCCTGGACAACGAGATCGTGACCAGGCGGTCGGACCCCTTAACCGGCCTCTGCATACCCAAACACCTAAACTTAATTTTTTTTTAATTTTTTTTTCTAGCGTTTAATACCTATTTTTAGGACAGAACAGAGCATAGAGGCAGAGGCGAGGAGGCAGAGAGAGAGAGAGAGGAGGAGAACACAGAATGGAGGAAACAGAGCTCCAGGCTCCTGAGCCCATCAATAGAGCCAGCCAGGCAGGGCTCGAACTCCGCGGACCGTGAGATTGTGACCTGGTTGAAGTCGGACGCTTAACCGACTGCGCCACCCAGGCGCCCCTTAATTTTTTAAAAAAGACTTCTTCTCTCGGGAAATAGCTGTTTGGTCTGCATTAGTGAGCACCATTTTGTAACCTGACGTTTGGCTCTTTAACTGACAGCATGAAGCTTCAGTACTTGGTCTTAGCTCTTTCTATATTATTAGTTGACTCAGTATGTTGAAATTAACTATTTTTTAGTCGTTCCCATTAGACTGAGCTCCTTGAGAGCAGGAGGTAGGTGCTCAATGAATATTTGTTGAACTAGAAATGGACTTACGAAATTCAAGGCCAGAACCTTCTCATGGTAGCATTAAAGGCAGTGATGAAAAAAGTACTATGGGATTTGGATGTGGACAATACTCGCCACGACAGTGTTTCAAGAGGAAATCGATGCTTTCTTAGTCCCCTGGGATGTCATGGTCTAAATAAAGTGCTTTTAAACTCATCCTCTGTGGCTACTGTAAGCAGGCCCGATGCTGGCCAGTCTTGAGTGCTCTGGCTTAGGATGTTTATGAGTTCTGTCCTTTCCTGAAGGAGCCAGAGGAAGAGCTATCCATGGAGAATAGCCCCACTATGGCTAAAATGGACCAGGGTGAAAATCAGGTTTTACCAAGTCCAAGAAGAAGACGCCTCCCCAAGGCACTTGGCTACGTCACCGGTGATATGAAAGAATTTGCCAGCTGGCTTAAAGGTATTTATGCTTCCATCCCTTGGGTTGATGGGATAGGTAGTGTGGGGTTCTTGTATTCATATCTTTAGTTATATTCCCTTGACTTTTAACTATTCCTCTCCTCTCCAGTTTTTAACTTTTCGTTTTTTTTAAGATTTTATTTTTAACTAATCTCTATACCCAACATGGGGTTCAAACTTACAACCCCAAGATCAAGAGTCACATGCTCTACCGACTGAGCAAGCCAGACACCCCTAACTTTTTATCTTCTAACCTGCAAGCCCCTTCCAATGTTTTGCTTTTTTATGGAGATAGTGGTCAGGATCAGGGCCCTGTTCATAATAGAGGAAGGCACCTGGTTCCATCCCATAATTTCAGCACTTAAAGACTGAAGTTTTATTATTGGTAATTCATTTCTTTGACTTAAGAGTCTTTACCACTGAGCATGGTAAATAAGTGCATTCTGTGCTTTCTGCAGTGGAGATTCTAATAGGGGCAGTGTGGGTGGAGCATAAAGAAACAGAAGGGTTTCAGGGATCTGAGGGCCACTAAAAGGGAAATGACTCAGAGGGAAATAGCTTCCAGGAATATCAAAACTTAGTTCACCTTTCTCAGAAGGGGTGTTGATTTTACTCAGGGTGGGCACTAGGCATGGAAAAGAGAATCTTGCCTTGTCGATTCCTTAGCTCTGAGTATCTCATCTCTTCCAGACAAACCACAGGTGCTCCAGTTCGTAGATTGGGTTCTTCGGGGCATATCCCAAGTGGTGTTCGTCAGCAACCCCATCAGCGGAATCCTGATTCTGGTGGGGCTCCTCGTCCAGAATCCCTGGTGGGCTCTCAATGGCTGTGTGGGAACAGTGGTCTCTACCCTGACGGCCCTGTTACTTGCTCAGGACAGGTAGGTGCATCCATTCAAGCCTGCTCGTCTTGCTTCTGAGAACACAGGAGCCAACCAGTGACTTTGGGAACCAGTGATAAAGTCCCACTCTTCCCAGAAAACCTACCTTTATTCCACAGAACTCTACATTTGTCTTGAGTCAGACATCAAGGGATCATCTATATCCCTTATTATTTCTCTTTCATCATTCACTAAATCATTCTTCTTTAGTGATTAATCAGTTATTTATCATGAGCATTTTGTTTGGGCATGAGTTCTTAAAAAGTCTTGATGGCTTAAAATTAAAAAAAAAAAGGGGGGGGGGCGCCTGAGTGGCTCAGTCGGTTAAGTGTCCAACTTCAGCCCAGGTCATGATCTCACAGTTCGTGAGTTCAAGCTCTGTGTCGGGCTCTGTGCTGACGGCTCAGAGCCTGGAGCCTGCTTCAGATTCTGTGTCTCCCTCTCTCTCTCTGCCCCTCCCCAGCTCATGTTCGCATGCTGTTTCTGCCAAAAATAAACTAAAAAAAAAAAAAAAAAAAAAAAAAAAAATTAAAAAAAAAAGTCTTGATGGCTTAAAAAATTCCACTAATTCCATTATATCTTGTTTCCATGCTTAGTTTAGCAAATTCATTCTTTATAGACAGTGTAAAGGTTAGCTCAGTTTCTAGAAAGATGAATAATCACAAATTCCAAGTTAGTAAGTTCTGACTTACGAAGTGTTTGTGTGTTTTCTCAACTACGTGTTAGGTTAAAAATAGCACATACATTTTTAAGTTTACTTATTTATTTTGAGAGAGAGAGAGAGAGAAAGAAAGAGCAGGCAAGTGGGGGAAGAGCAGAGAGAGAAGGAGAGAGAGAGAATCCCAAGCAGGCTGCACGCTGGCAGCACAGAGCCCAGCTCAGGGCTCGATCTCATACTCGACTCAAAAATAGCATGTACTTTATAAATTGATCTGTCATTGAAGAAGTGATAAGCTGACTTCTACAATGGGAGAAGACAGCTCCTGACTTCCTAGTTTTATCAGGGAGGCCACTGGTCTTCTAGATGTCCAGGATCAATGCATAAGCACCAGTGGATGGTCATTGTAATGACTCAGCTCTTATAACACTTACCATAAATTACCTAAGGAGCTAACCAGAAAAAGAATCAGAAAAAGTTCCACTCTCCCATCAGGTCCAAAGAGCCTGATTTGTTCTCCATAGCTTACGTTCAGTCCTATTCCAACGTACATCAGGAAACAGTCTATTCAGTATGGAGGTGTGGTCCAAGACTGCGCCATATCAACTATTCCTTCATTGTTTTGTTCAAGTGGAAAATGACACATTTTCCTTATCAGGTGTTATTTAAAAATCAAGCCATATTTACACGTGTTGATTTTCAAATCTCTTTTACTCTCTTCAGTCCCAAAGGACCGCATTAAAATGGCAATCCTGTGTTAAGAGAATCCACATCTTCCTGCTGCCTTAAGTATGGCATTCTGCAACTTGCAGACGTTGCCATTAAAGCAATGGCAGTCAAGCATCAAGTCTCCAAGTCCCTTATTAGAAGATGAGTTTTTGCATAGCTGTCCACCGTCCTCATGTATAGTCCCAAATTCTAGAAGACAGTATCACTTCTGGGGTTAAACCAGTACAAAGCCCATCACTTTCTACCTGTCCTGATAGATTAGTTAGGGGAGACCAAGGACATTGGACAGAGAGTCCCTCCTCTCATGCTCTCACCCAGGTGAGTGTAAGCGATACCACCTTGCTGTTGTACTGGTACCTACTGCCCCCGCTAAAGCTCTCACACCGCCCGAACGACCCCTGTAGTGTGGCCTCTGGCTATGTCACCTTCCTTCAGACCCTGCACCTAACCTCACATACTCACTCCACCATCTTTGCACCCGGTGACCCAATGACTTCATCCTTTAACTCAGCCCTTCGTGGTGTGAGATGTCAGCTCTTAGAGCCCTAGGGGGCCTGGCTTGTCAGCCTTGGGGCTTATTCTGTAGAAGCTGTTCTATTTCTCACTTAGGGCTTCTAGTGCCCTCAATTATGAAACGGGAACCATTTGGGTCAGGAGTAGAAAATTGCCAATAGGACAACCTTCAGAAGTGAGGTGAAATGCTGAGAAGCATAAAGAATTCGGTGCTAAATGTGCACGTAAATGGAGTACCCTGCCCAGGAAAGGTAATTGTTTTTCATTGCAATAACTTGAAAATGGATATTTGGAGACGACCAAGTAGAGGTGCAGGAAGATGAAAATGTATGCTGAGCTGGAAGATTAATGTTTATAAGGTCACAGATGCTGCAGAAGTGAATTTACAATTCGACAATCTTACACCTCTTACCAAGAATGTCAGAATTAGGAAAGTCTCACATGAGAGCTCTGAGGCCCTTAATGATGCAGGTCAGAGGCCCTTAATGATACAGAAGAAATAACAACTTTCCAATGTCCATGCTGTGCCTCTTGCCCGCAGGTCAGCAATTGCAGCCGGGCTACAGGGCTACAACGGCACCCTGGTGGGAATACTCATGGCTGTCTTTTCAGACAAGGGCAACTATTTCTGGTGGCTGTTATTCCCTGTGTCTGCTATGTCCATGACTTGGTAAGTTATACCTGGTTTTCAAAATGCCTTAAAAAAAAACATGTATGGGGCCAAGAGAGAATGGGGAGTTAGTGTTCAATGGGTACAGAGTTTCAGTTTTGCAAGATGGAAAATGTTGTATGAATGGACAATAGGGATGGTTACACAACAATGTGAATGTGCTTAATGCAAGTGAACCGCACCCTTTAAAATGGTTAAAATGGTAAATGTTATTATATATTATATTATATATAAATATTATATATTATATATATATATATAAATATGTATGTGTGTGATGGAGCCTAAAGATTTGCATCTCTAACTAGTTGCCTGGTGATGTGGCTGATCCAGGAACTACACTTTGAGAACCACTCTATGTGTGTGTCTATATGAACTCTCCCTACCCACCTGTCCCTGCTACCTTCAAAAAATTTATTTACTGAATTCAGTTCCTTTTTTTTTGTTTAAACCTAAATCCTTCAATCCTTCACACTAGTTCCTTAAACCTCCTCCCCCCTTTGTTGGAAGCAAACATTTCCTTCTTATTATGACATATTTAGGATATAAAACACTGATATCCACACAAATGAGAAGTGTGGCCCACTAAGGACAGTGTCTGCCGGGCCACCCACCCTGGCTTCAACCACAGGTGTGTGGGAGAGAACTTGCTGGTAGAGCCAACCTGTCCAGGAAGTAATTTCTGACCAGTTCTGAAGAACTGGCTGGAGGACAGAAGTTGTCCCCTGCAGTGCTCCCCACACCCTTTCCCATAACCTGGAGCTCTTGACCTTAGTGATGGGCCAACACGGGAGAGCACAAAAGAGGCCCAGAGACCATCTAATCTAATCCAGTCCCCCAGGCTACAGACAAGGAAATGGAGGAGTAGTTCCTTGCCAAAGGTCACGAACCGCTAAAGCTGCTGCCCCCATCCTCCATCCCAATCTTCTTCCTCCAAGCCCACACCACCTTATATCCTCCCTTGGGCAATTGTTTCTCTTCTTCAAAAACAGATATAGTAAACACAAAGATGATCTAGAAATTCAAGATGGTGGTCGCCTCTGGTGGGGAGGGAGGGGCATATGATCAAGTGGGTTACACAGGGGGGCTTTAACCGTGTAGATAGTATTTTACTTCATGCTAAAATACTTCGAAAATATTTCTAAAACCTGGATTTCATAAGTCACTGTGAGAAACCCCAGAATATAATTTTTCAAAACCAAGTAAGCAAAGCATTCATTTTTGACCTTGTGTAAGACTTATTCTCTGACAGGGTTTATTCCACGTGTGTTTATTTTTTTGTTTCATTTTGATTTTTCGGTTATCTTCCCCCCACCCCCCCGCCATGAAAAGTTTGTTGAAATAGTACTTTAGGGACATATTTGCCCAGGAGACAAAACCCCTCCATGGTGTAGAGATTCAGTGTCAACTGACTTGTCACATGCACGTTCTTCCATTCTGTTCTGTGGTTGTTGCTGTTGTCATTAGTCCAGTTTTCTCAAGCGCACTGAACTCCTTGTTCTGCAAATGGGACCTCCCCGTCTTCACCCTGCCCTTCAACATGGCGTTGTCAATGTACCTTTCGGCCACGGGACATTACAATCCGTTCTTCCCAGGCAAACTGTTCAAACCTATAACCGAGGTTCCCAATGTCACCTGGACTGACCTCAGTGCCCTGCAGGTAAGGTATACCGTCTTCTCACATTCCTGCCTGGCTCTGGAAGACTCTGTGTCCTCCTGGCTAATTGTTCTTGGGCATCAGAGCCTTATGGAGACTCAGCTCTAGGGTGGCCTTGTTGCCTTCATCTTGCCCTCTGAACCATTTGTCCTGCTCCAAAGCTTTGGGCTCTAAGGGTTTGTGTATTATTGTTATTGAAGTATAGTTAACATACAGTGTTATATTAGTTTCAAGTGTACAATATAATGATTCAGCAATTCTATGCATTACTCAGTGCTGATCAGGATAAGAGTACTCTTAATTCCTTCCACCTACTTCACCTGTCTCCCCACTCACCTCCCTCTGGTAACCACCATTTTGCTCTCTGTATTTGCATCGGGTTTTTTGTTTTTTGGGTTTTTTGTTTTTTGTCTCTTTTTTCTTTGTTCTGGGGTTTGGGGATTTTTTTTAATTTTTTTTTTTAATGTTTATATTTGAGAGAGAGACAGAGCATGAGCAGGGAAGGGGCAGAGAGAGAGAGGGAGACACAGAATCTGAAGTAAGCTCAAGGCTCTGAGCTGTCAGCACAGAGCCTGATGTGGGCCTCAAACTCAGAGACCACGAGATCATGACCTGAGCTGAAGTTGGACACTCAACCAACTGAGCCACCCAGGCACCCCTGTTCTAAGGGTTTTTTTTTAATGTTTATTTATTTATTTTGAAAGAAAGAGAGTGGGGGAGGGGCACAGAGAGGGAGAGAGAGAGAGAACCCTAAGCAGGCTCCCCACTGTCAGTGCAGAGCCCAACATGGGGCTCAAACCCACAAACTGTGAGACCATGACCTGAGCCAAAGTCAAGAGTCAGACACTTAACCAACTGAGCCACCCAGGCACCCCTCTAAGGGGTCTTTTAAATGACTGCTCAAAGCTAACTTTTCCTCCTCTTTTCCCAAAATCCACTCCAGAGTATAGCTCTGTTTCAAAGTCGGAGTCAAAGACTGTTTCAAACTTTGGGTGGGTGTGTTGGGGGCCATCCTTTGAGGCAAGGCCTCCAGCCTGGAGTTAAGGCTTCCATGATCTGGCTCCTCTGATCAAAAGAATTTGTTCCTTCCATTAGATCTCATTACAGAACCTCTCTATTCTGCTTTTTCATTTGGCAGATCTCATAGAATATGTACAATAATTCATGGTTCTCAAGCTTTGGTAGGCATCAGAATCATTGTTTGTTTCTTTTTTAAATACCAGTACAAGCCCCATCTCAGACTCTCTAAATCCTAATCTCTGGGAATAGAGTCTGGGAGCCTGTATTAACAAGCTTCCCAAATAATGGTGATGTAGGCCAGAGTTTGAGAACTGCTATCATAAGATGTATTCTATGTATCTCTTTACAGATGTGCACAAAGAGAGCACCTTTTTAAAAAATCTGGTTGACCCAGGGGTGCCTGGGTGGCTCAGTTGGTTAAGTATCTGATACTTGATTTTGGCTCACAGTTTGTGAGTTCAACCCCCACATCAAGCTCTGTGTTGACAGCGTGGAGCCTGCTTGGGATTCTCTGTCTCCCTCTTGCTCTGCTCCTCCCCCATTTGTGCTTATGCTCTCTCTCTCTTTCTCTCTCTCTCTCTCAAAAATAAACATTAAAAAAAATAATAAAAATAAATTAAAAACCTGGTTAACCCAAATCACATTCCAGCTCTTCCTGTTGGTGTTTATTTAATAACTCTGTTTAAGGTTTCTTGACTATTAAAAACAAGAGAACACTTAAAATCAGAAGAGGGGCGCCTGGGTGGCTCAGTCAGTTGGGCATCCGACTTCAGCTCAGGTCATGATCTCACAGCTTGTGAGTTCGAGCCCTGGGTCGGGCTCTGTGCTGACAGCTCAGAGCCTGGAGCCTGCTTTCGATTCTGTGTCTCTCTCTCTCTCTCTGCTCCTCCCCTGCTCACACTCTGTGTGTGTCTTTCTCTCTCTCAGAAATAAATAAACATTAAAAAACACTTTTTTTTAAATCAGAAGAAAACTACCACCTTTTACGATGTGAAAAAGACTGGCTTTCCCACTATCAGGTTATGAAACCCCATTTGCCGTCCTCCTTGCTGAGCGATCAAAACATGTGAAGAGCTCAGGCAGGCTTTTCTGTACATTCTTGCCCAGAAAATAAATAGGAGCGTTTGGAAATAACCCAAAAAGAAAATCAAATGTTTATTCGAATCCCCTGTGAAAAATATTATAAATAATGTTAAGTAATCTATCTAAAATGTCCCTGTCCAACATAGTAGCCATTATCCCCATGTGGCTATTTTAATTTAAATTTGAAATTCATTACAATTAAATGAAATTGAAAATTCAGTTTCTTAGCCTCACTAGCCACATTTCAGGTGCTCAGTAGGCACACGTATTGGGCAGCACACATATGGAATATTCCACCTCCGTGGAAGTCCTGCTGGATAGTGCTGATCCGCAGAGGTAAGGGTCTTGCTCTTCTCACTATGAACTACCGCCCCAACATCAGCACCCTTATTTCCCATCTCACCCAGATTCCACCTCCCGGGCTACCCAGGGGATAGTTCTGCTGTCCGGTTCTGAGATGAAAGCCCAAGTAGTCTTTGCCCGCATCAAGTTCCCTGCTCTAGAGAAACAGGAAATGATTTCGCGTAGACATGAAAATCCAGTGTGGGCTGGAAATGTTAAGGTCCATCTTAGGATAGACTCAAACTCACAGTATGGTCCCGTGCTCTGAGCAAGGACTGATGCAGCATTTGGAAGCCAGCATTAGTTCCAGCCTAACGCGTGAAGGGAGAGGGCAGTTCCCCGTGCCGAGGCAGAGCCCCCTGTGTCAGAGTCACTGCTTCCCTAAGGCCCCCAGAAGGTATACATGTGACCTAGAGAAGACGGAGGGAGCAAGATGGGAAGGCATCTTTCAGTAAATGGTCTTGGTCACAAAGGAACCTAGTGTGGCTAATTATGCCTATCCTGGACCTACCGAATGTGTTGCTATAAAATGCTATTCACATTTGTTAGCTTAAATCAAACCCTGTCCCTTCCCGAAAACTGCCATTCTGTGAACACATGAGCTGAATTCAGGCCTCGGCCAGAAAGTAGAAATTTACATGTATTACGTGTAAATTTACATGACATTTACATGTATTTTTGTGGGGGTTTTTTTGCACTGACTGGCAGTTGTTGATAACTGGAATAAGCTAAGGATATTCTGGTTTAAATAAATACATGTTCTCATTAACAGCAGAAGTGTCAATAGGGTCCTGATTCATGAACTTGCTGATAATTGCTTCTGAATTATGGATAAGAGAACCCGACTCTGGGTCTCTGGCCTTAACAACCCAATTGCAAGGGAGCAATAGTACTTCTATTGACCACAGTGTGCACTGATGTATTAGGCCTGAGAACCAATGGACAGTTAAAAGCAACACAAGTGTAAGCTGTGAGGCAGTGACTCCACCTGGGAGCTTAGCAGCCAAAGCCACCGTGTCAGTGCAGCAACAGAGCCCCAGAGTGAAGGGGGTTCTAGGAAGGTGTGCTCAGTATGCAGCAGGTATGGGCTGGTGCATCTTTTGGGATAAAGCAAAAGTGTGAGGTTTTTCTGTAAAGAGAGAGAATTTTTAAAAAGGCGGGGGGTGGGGGTAGGGTGATGGTACCTGGGTGGGCCAGTTGGTTGAGCACCCGGCTCTTGATTTCGGGTCAGGTCCTGATCCCGGGGTCATGGGTTTGGCTGGAGCCCCACATGAGGCTCCATGCTGAGCGTGGAGCCTGCTTAAGATTCTCTCTTCCTCCCTCTGCCCCTCTCCCCCACTTGCACGCACTCTCTCTCTCTAAAATTAAAAAAAATTTTTAATTAAAAAAATAAAAAAGTTAGTCACACTGATCTCAAAAGACAACCCCACTCTACCATTGCCTTGTATGTGTTTGTAGGTGTCTGTTCAGCTGTTTTAATGACCTCCTTCTCTAAATGGCTTTGCAGCTATTGAAATCCCTGCCCGTGGGTGTCGGTCAGATCTACGGCTGTGATAACCCGTGGTCGGGGGGCATTTTCCTGGGCGCCATTCTGCTCTCCTCCCCGCTCATGTGCCTGCACGCTGCCATCGGGTCGCTGCTGGGGATAGCGGCAGGTAAGCCTGAGACGGGCAATGGGATATCGAGCACCTCCTCCGCTGCATGCACCCCCTCCGGCGTCTTCCATGCTCCAGACCTTTCTTTTTTTTTTTTTTTTTTTAAATTTTTTTTTTCAATGTTTATTTATTTTTGGGACAGAGAGAGACAGAGCATGAACGGGGGAGGGGCAGAGAGAGAGGGAGACACAGAATCGGAAACAGGCTCCAGGCTCTGAGCCATCAGCCCAGAGCCCGACGCGGGGCTCGAACTCACAGACCGTGAGATCGTGACCTGGCTGAAGTCAGACGCTTAACCGACTGCGCCACCCAGGCGCCCCATCCAGACCTTTCTTGAGAGCTCTGCTTCCAAGAACTCCCTTGGTGCCTCCCCCACCCCTAACCTCCTTCCAGAGCATGCTGCCTTTTGTCCACAGCTGTGACTCCTTCTGTCTTACCTAACAGGACTCAGTCTTTCAGCGCCATTTGAGAACATCTACTTTGGACTCTGGGGTTTCAACAGCTCTCTGGCCTGCATTGCAATGGGAGGGATGTTCATGGCACTGACCTGGCAAACCCACCTGCTGGCTCTTGCCTGCGGTGAGTATACTGTACCTCAGAGGGAGGCTCGCTCATAACCATGGGATCAGCCCAAACAGTAAGATATGACTATGTCAGGAACTGGGGCAAGGGTTCCAGTTTGGGCCCTGGCTTTCTGCGTATGTGAGCAGGGCAGGTGGCTTCCTCTCTCTGGGAGGATTAAGCCCTGCTGGGCCCTCCTCATGGGTTATCGTGAGGACAGGAGAGCCTGTTGAGCCATATTAAACATTTGCCTTATGTATGTGTTGGGGGATAGAAACTTGACTCGTCCTATGTTCTTCATACTAGTCGTTGACCCAAGAAACAGCTATGTTCTTCATACTAGTCGTTGACCCAAGAAACAGTAATAAAGTGAGTCAAGCTAAACACAGAGCCATCTCTCCTGGTGAGTCAGGCAGGACTACATGTGGCTCTTTGAGAATCACAGGAACCAGCTGTTCTCACACGTCGGGGAGTGTCAGGATCACCTGGAAGTCTTGTTAAAACACAGATGGCTGCCCCCCTTCCCCAGTCCCTGATTCGTCATTACAGGCGGGGGAGGAGTTGGCGTCTCTAACGAGGGCCAGGTGGCACTGATGCTATTCCTCCGGGGACTGCATTTTCAGACCCGCTGTATTCATCCGTTCGGACCCCCATATTCCAGCCAGACTCCTCCTGTCAGAGCCAGATGGTTCTGGAGATCCCCCACACCTTCCTTCTCATTTTACTACTGGGGTTCTGAGGCCAGAGAGGTGAAGTGATGTGCTGAAGGGCATCCAGTCAATTAGGGTAAATTCAAGCCCGGAATCTACATTTGGTAACAACTTCTGTAATTCCCCTACCCTACTCTGTTCCCAGTGGCAGCATTCAGGCCTTTAAGAGAACACACCTCAAGTGATATAGATTTGAAAAGCTAACGGATTTTTCAGGCCCTTGTAAAGTGGAGACATATTCGCCCAGAGCCTCTGGCATCCCTAATTCAATACGAAGTAAAAAGTAAGATAATGTATTAGAGTGTAGGGATACTGGGGTATCCCTGGGTGATACTGGGGAAGGGTGGAATGTGCAGAAATTATCTGTAATCTAATGGAAATACTTGTGTAGAGTCAGTTTATCACCAGATTAATCAATCCAAGTTACCTACACCGCTATTAAAATGGTGGACCACATACACACACGTAATGGAATACTACTCAGCCATAAAAAGGATGAAATCTTGCCACTTGCAACAACATGGGTAGACCTTGAGGGCATTATGCTAAATGAAACAAGTCAGAGAAAGACAAATATCATATGATGTCACTTACAGGTGGAATCTAAAAACACAAAACAAAGCAAAACCCAGACCCATAAGTACAGAGAACAGATTGGTGGTTGCCAGAGAGGAGGCGGATTAGGAGCATAAATGGATAAAGGGAAGTACAAACTTCCAGTTATAAAATAAATAAGTCATGGGGGGTGTAATATACAACATGAGGAATCTAGTCAATAATATTGTATTAACTTTGTGCGGTGATGGACGGTGACTTTACTGAGGTGAGCATCTCACGATGTATGCAAAGATGGAAACACTATGTTGTACACCTGAAACTAATATAATATTGTATGTCAATGATACCCCAATTAAAAAAAATAAGGTAATAAAATAAAAGGGTAGACCACATGTCAGGCAGAGAATGTGGAATGGATTCCTGCACTGGGCAGGAAGCAGGACCAAGGATTTCTAAGGCCTCACTCAATTTTAATTTTCTGATGCTGCAGTGAAGTTAAAAAATCTCAGATTGTTGTGGTGTTGCCACTTTACATGTCATTTTGCCAATTTCCTTATAGTACACAGCTGTTTCACCAACTAGTCCTGTCAAACTTTTTGCTCATTCTCCCATATTTGTTCATAAGCTTAGGGCAAAGGAGAAAACTGATTACGTGTCACCTGAGGTAGGCCAGGTTAGAAGCTTTACTGTGAGATTCTTTGAGATTTCAAATCTTTTTTTTTTAAGTTTATTTTTGAGAGAGAGAGAAAGAGAGAGAGAGAGAGAGAGAGAGAGAGAGAATCCCAAGCAGGTTCCACGCTGTCAGCACTGAGCCCAACACAGGCCTCGATCCCACAAACGATGAGATCGTGACCTGAGGTGAAACCAAGAGTCCGACACTTCACCGACTGAGCCAGGCGCCCTGAGATTTCAAGTCTTTTATTCAAGGGGCTTACATTTACGTTTCTGTGTGGGCGGTGATAGAAAATACATATTAAACACTCATGAAACCCACGTGGCCATGGCCGGATATGATGTATCTGAACTTCCTCCCCTAGGAAGACCTAGGGGATTAGCAACTTTAGATCCAGAAATTCCTGTGCGCAGATGTTATGGTCAAGGGCAGAAGCCAGGTGGGTGAGAGCAAGCCCACTGGAGACCATATGATATCTGTGACAGAACAAGGACACATCTGCAGTACCAGATTCCCTGGGGGCACATGACAGTGCAGAATCATCAAGAAGCACCTCCTAGGGGTGCCTGAGTGGTTCAATTGGTTAAGTGCCCCACTTCGTCTCAGGACATGATCTCACGGTTCATGGGTTTGAGCCCTGCGACGGGCTCTGTGCTGACAGCTCAGAGCCTGGAACCTGCTTTGGATTCTGTCTCTCCCTCTCTCTCTCTGCCCCTTCTCTGTTCTCACTCTGTCTCTCTCTCTCAAAAATAAATAAACATTAAAAATAAATTTAAAAAAAATTAAAAAAAAAAAAGAAGCATCTCCTAGACACGGTGGCTTTTCTGTATGTCCTAAAATTGAGAGAAGGAAGTCCTGTTGGTGGAGGCAATCTGACTGGATGGTCGGGGCCAGCATGGGGACAGCCTGAGTACATCCTTCAAGCTCAAGCAGAAACTGTTTTTGGTCACACGAGTTGTTGCTGAGATCTTAGACTGTGGAAAGGGATGAGGCCAAGATGTTAGCAGATGGGTTTCCTCAAAGCAGGAATATCTTCATTATTTTCTTCACTATAGAAGTAAAGTAGTATGGGCTTATGGTACCAAAAAAAAAAAAAAATTGATAAATACAGAAGAGTATAAAGCAGAGTGTAAAAAGACTCCCTCCTGCTCCCTCAGTGTAACTTTTTGCCTCCCTCTTATAAGGACCTCGGGTTACGTTGGGTCCACTTGGATAACCCACACTCATCTCCCGGTCTCAAGATCATTAACCTAATCACAGCTGCAAAGCTCCTTTTGACAGATAAGGTAACATATTCACGGGTTCTGGGGATTAGAGCGTGAACGTCTTTGGGGGCCGTGACTGTGCCTATCGCGCCTACCTTCCTTCGGACAGGTCAGATTTTCTTTAATGGCATAGCGTAATGGATGAGGCAACGTACTGAATTAGTTGAGAACCCAGACCCTCTGCCACGTCCTAGCTCTGCCAAGTTTAACTTCAGTAGATGCCACGTTCAATAGATGCCTTCCCCCAGGGGCCATCCCGCTTTCCCCTGCCACCAGTGGTGTGTGAGAGGGCACGTTTCATCCACACTAGGTACTGGCCATCCTTTCCCTCTTTGGACATAAAGTTTTGAGGCAGACCTCCAGCCCCCTCCTGTAAGGTAAATCTCACATGGAAAACGTAACAGCAAGTTCCAGCTTGCCCATGTCACCCTGACCCTGCCAAACCAAAGACCGACTCGGCCAGCCAAAGTAAATAAAGAACGGACATTCATTACAGAGTTGCTCTTTCATTAGATCACATGGCCTTATCAGCAAGAGGACCCGGGAAGCTCTGACAGGGCCCGGCACTGCTGCCTTCCCTGCCTCGACACCGGAAGCTGCCCACCAAGGAATTCCTCGGTCTTGTTATTTTATCAGTGCAAACTGTAAACACATTTCGTCTCCTTTTAATGCTTGGCTTGTCACAGTAGGACTTGTACACGGTGGCCTGTGGGGACGGACATTGCCGGCCCTTCAGCTCTCGGGGCCTCTCCTCTCCCTCTGCTGCCCAGAGCTCTGTCAGAGTCATCACCTACAAACTGTGGTGTGCAGAATGTCACCTCTACCGTAAGGCTTTCCCAGTCTGATTCAGCAAATCTTAATTGATGGGCAGTTACTGTTATGCAGTCTGACTCTCTTACTATGGGGAGAAAAGTGACTTGTAATTGGAGAGCACCTGGAAACCGCCTAACAGTAAGAAACCAGAGCAATGCCTTCCAAATGTAATAAGTATCAAATGGAGAGAAGTGGCAATGAAGTCTCAGGTGCTCAGGGGACATCTCCTAGAAGAGCCGGCGCCCAAGGGAGCAAGGACAGAATGTTCCGGTACTTGCTCAAGTGCCGGTGAATATTTGTTGAATGAGTGAGTGAGTGAATGAACGAATGAAATAGAAAAAAAAAGAATGAAATTCTCAAAACCCAACAAAAAAGCTCTTCCAACCCAAGCTGTTGCTGGCTTCTGCTCAGATCAGTATCTCACCCCCCAGGGACAGGGATGGGTTTGAGAGCTGCTCTTTGTGGAAATACAGGATTGCATGTGAGATCCGTCTCCTCCCTGTAAAGAGCATCTTCAAGTTGCCCTTTGACAAATGATAAAACCAGATTCCGAAGTTCAGGGATTTGTTGTACAATTAAATGGCAGAGCTGGGGTTTGAAGCTTGTCTTTCCAAGACACGCCTTTCCCGCTAGCTGGAGACAATTCAGATGTTGAAACACATACTGTTGAACAAAAATACCAGGACAAAAAGACCAAAGATTGATAAAAGGTTGGAAGTCTGTGGTAAAGTAAATGAGGGAGGGAGTCCCTCCGCCCCCACTTCCTGCCCCGCCCCATGGTGGCTGTGTGATTTCTCCTGCTTTGGGGCAGTAGATGGTGGGTGTGCCTACCGGTGAGTGCTGCTGGGCCAGGTGGCTGTGTGGCCAGCTTATGAAGTCATTCTGCAGCCTGCCTTGGTGAAACCCGAGGGCTTCCCTGAGCCTTCTTGAGCACCACCCCCCCACCTTCAACTGATGATTAGCTACTTGAGAGCTTTGTTTTTGTTGTTTCACATTGAAGGTCACAGATATACTCAAACTGCTACTTTAAGATTTGCGCTTGCTCAGAGTAAATAAAAACATAGCATGTTAGTTCATTAGCCCGTATGCCGATCTTAATGGTATTTGGAAAAATGTTATGGGGAGAAATCCCAAGTTTGTGTTCCGTTTCTACTGATCTCTGAGTTAGCATCTGTTTTTTTATACCACAAGTGTTTCTAACTGTGAATTCTAACCAATACGAGAATCCTTGTGATCGTACAGAAACCGTGCTATCCGAAGAAACATTCATACTTTTCGTTTTGGTCCAACCATGCTCAGATAAAATAACAGGGAAGTTTATTGGCCATGGAAAGCCTTTTCCTTAAGGATCAGCAGTAACATGAACCAAATAGTAATCACAGAAAAGCTACCTTTACTGAGTACTTCTTTTTAAATTTTTTTTAATGTTTATTTATTTTTGAGAGACAGAGCATGAGCGGGGGAGGGGCAGAGAGAGAGGGAGACAGAATGTGAAGCAGCCTCCAGAATCTGAGCTGTCACAAGAGCCTGATGTGGGGCTCAAATCCATGGACCTCGAGATCATGACCTGAGCCAAAGTCGGGCGCTTAACCGACAGAGCCACGCAGGCACCCCTACTGAGTGCTTCGTACTGCATGCTAAACCCAAGTATTACCTGCTTTCGTGTCACACCAACCCCGTGAGAAAGGAATTCCTATTCCCTCTATTGTGCAGGTGAGAAAGTGAAGGCTTAGAATGGAGGCCACCAAGCTCCTAAGTGGTGGAGTCTGGATTTGAACCCAGAGCTGCCGACTCTAAGCTCATAATTATAACCAGGGTGCTGGGCTGGCTGGAAAAACATGGAAGTTTCCTTTCCAGGGGATTTATACCAGAAGGCAGTCTTCCCTGTAATGAGAAGTGCACCTACTAAGTGCTGTTGTTCCCCTTTGTTTGTAGCCCTGTTCACTGCCTACCTTGGAGTCAGCCTGTCACACATGATGGCTGTGGTGAGTTTGCTTTAATCTTGCATTGTCGTAACATGATTGATCAGTTTTTGATGATATGGAAACCCTCCCAAGGTCCCCCTGGGTGGTGTCCCATGCAGGATCCATGGCTGTGATAGCCACTACTTTCTCATCTTCTGGACCTGCCTGTCCCCACTCACCTTGTAGCTTCTTCGTGAATTATAATCCAAACTACAATCACCAGGCTTGCTAAAAATATCAGATTGATAATTTAAAGAAGTGAAACTTAGGCTGTATAACATATTTATCAAGTTCATATTCTAACTCTGAGTGTCAGGGAATTGACCTTAGAATATCTTCTACTTGAACAGAAAGCCAAGACCATGTGGTGGTTGAGAAATCAGGAAAGAGAGAAAAATATAATTGGCTAATGACCCAGATGGTGCTGTTTTTTGTTTTGGGTCAAGCCATTAGTTTTTCATACCCCTTGTCTTTTTTTTTTTTTTTAATTTTATGTTAGAATGAGAGAGAGAGAGAGAGAGCAGGGGAAAGGCATAGAGAGAGGGAGAGAGAATCCCAACTCAGGGTTCAATCCCATGACCCGAGCCGAAATCAAGACTTGGATGCTTAACCGACTGAGCCACCCAGGTGCCCCACACCTTGTCCTTTTTTAAATCTCCATCAGTCGTAAGACTTATTCAGACTCACATCCTGGCTTAAGTATTTAAAAAATTTTTTTGATGTTTTATTTATTTTTGAGAGAGAGAGAGAGACCAAGCCCATGAGCAAGTGAGGGGCAGAGAGAGAGGGAGTCACAGAATCCAAAGCAGGCTCCAGGCTCTGAGCTGTCAGCAAAGAGCCTGACGCAGGGCCCAAACTCGTGAACCGTGAGATCATGACCTGAGAAGAAGTCGGACACTTAACCAACTGAGCCACCCAGGTGCCACCCCTGCTGAACTATTTAATAGGCAAAACCATCTCCCATTTAGTGGCTCCTGCCCCTCTTTCTCCTTCCTTTTCAGCACTATCCTGCCCTTGACCTTCTCTTTCAGAACTGCATGAGTTGCCAAGAACAGCCCAGAGGAAGGACCTCCCCTCAAGGAGCTTAGAATCTATTTGGGAACTGGAACAAGAGGAAGGAAAGCCAGTAGAGTCCAAGACTAGTCTGGGTGGAAATCGGGAGGAGAGACAGCACCACAGGCTGAACTCAGCAAAGGGGGCCCTGTGGGTGTGATGAGGGTCAGGAGACATTGGCGGCTTGCTAAGTGACATCTCTAGGTGCCCCGTGGCATAGGAAGCCCACTGTATGAAAGGAAGGGAAAGATGTACAAGGTGGACAGGCAAATGACCACCCTAAGAAGCAGATGAGGGCATTTCACCTGCTAAATGCCCTGGGATCTTGGACTCCATCTTGGGCATTAGTGGAGCCTGGGTCAGTGCTCCAGGGATGCATCCCCCTGGGCTGAATGAGAATAGGATGAAGGGTGGTACTTTGTGACAGGATCTCAGAGGAGCATGTGCCTTGTCTCTTCCTCTTCAGGCGGGATTGCCAGCTTGTACCTGGCCCTTCTGTTTGGCCACACTACTGTTCCTCTTGCTGACCACGAAAAATGCCAACATGTACAGGATGCCCCTCGGTAAAGTCACTTATCCTGAAGAAAACCGCATCTTCTACATACAAGCCAAGAAAAAAAGGATGGTTGAAAGCCCTTTGTGAGAGCCACCCCACCCACAGCCATGGTCACAAGGGGTGGCTGACCGACTGCCCCAGGTGACCCCCAGGGTCTTGGCAAACTGCTGTTTTTTGCCTTTAACAACTTTCGTACTACTAACCCATTGGCGATCTGCTCTTAGGCTCATTTTGTAGCTTTCTCTTAGACTCCAGGAGCATCCCCAAACATGTGAGAGACCAGATGGTGTGCCCTGGTGGGGCGTTGGTGCTAAGACTAATATATTTATAAGGTCAAGTGCTCCAACAGAACGAAGATGTGAGACCAGAGCTAATGATTGACATTTATTGATATTCTTGGTATTTGGTTAGGCTACGTGATGTTAACAGTATTAAAAATTAAGCTCTACAACTAAGCCTCAAGTGAATGGAATTCATGGTCACAAAGTCAAAGTCAACCCAGAATTCTCAGATAAGCAGTGTGACTTGTTTGAAATCAATACAACTTACACATGACAGTGGTAGTGCCCACAGCTCATGCCCCAGCCCCTCAGCAGAATGGCCTGGATCCTGCCCTGTGTGGGTGGGATTCTCTTACGGGAGATGGGCTGATTCTTTCCAGGCGGACACAGCTGTAGGAGAGAGAAAGGGATTTTATCAGTCAAAATTATTCTGGAATGTTATTTTTCTTAGACGTGGCAAAGGATTTTTTTAGATAAGGTTTATTATCTTTTTCTTATGAGAATGCATTTGTGTTTTCAATGAGGTAAAATAAGAGAAGTTCCTGGCTTAACCAGTTCCTAGATATTAAAGAAAAGTTACATTTTTATGAAATATTTGGCATAGCTGTTTTCACTTTAATCCACATGTTGATTTTGTAAATGCCAGGAACGTGTAGAACCAAGTTATCAGCATCCAAGGGTCCTTTAACGCCACAATTTGCAATCCATTTGGGATGTTTTACATGTTATAAAGCCTGAAAGTTAAGTTCAGATTGTTTTTGGATGCTTGGAAGTTGTTGAATTTCTTTAAAAAAAAAAATTTCATGAAAAAAAAAGTCATTATCTGCACACTCAAAATATTCTCACTCAGAACCCAAAGGTAAAGGGTTCTCCTGTTTTTCTTTGTTTTAATTTTAAAGTCATCAGTCCTATAAACATCCTATAACCAAACACACTGAGGATGCCATAGAAAGTGCCACTCGCTACCTTCCGCTGAATCTGTATGGATTCAGTGTTTTGGAGGATTCGGAAAGAGAAACCGTGGAATCCTAAAGGGTTTTTCCCCCCTTTGGGTTTGCAGTGCTCAGTGCAAAATATTTAGGTTGCTGCAGGAATAAACAGAAGAAGGGAAGCCAACCTAAAATATTTCAGGGAGAAGTCCACTTCTTCCTTTTCTCAGGAAAACAAACATTGTTCTGATTTAACAACCCTGTGACCAAAGCCTTTTGAAACCCTGAATTTGCAACTGTCATAGAGTCATGTGGAAAAACTAAATCTTCACCGTGTGAACGGAAATCTCCCTTGTTAGGGAATTTGTGAAATAAGACTTGATGGGAGGGCAGGGGAGGAGGACTCAAAAACGAAAGCAGAACCAAAGATAAACCAGGAGAGAAGAGTCCAGGCTGTGGTTGAGTGAACCAGAGCCTCTGACATGCCTCCAGGCCCATCTTCACAGGAGCTGGAGTGTTCTCCGTATACCCTCTGCTGGTGGGCTCACACAGGCGTGTAAATAGGAACATTCTAAAGCCTTGTACATGGCCGAATTTAAATGGTATTAATTTTTTCAAGCTGTTTTTGTTACTAAGTGTTACCCTGAAATGAAGTGAGTATTTTGTTAGTTTCCTCAGGGATCACTTGGATTCTTTTCCTATTGTTTGTATAACAAATTTCTAGGTAAGAATATGAATAAAATTATACTCACAGCTCAGTTTTGTACAGATTTTGTTTAAAAGTCACCTATGCCTTTTATAGCTATCGTGTGTGTATATTAACAATCACATGCATAATTGTGTCTTGCTTATATGTGCTTATGTTTTGATGTGCTGGTATCCCCTGATTCCTTTCTTCTACTTGGTAACAGCACCAGACGTGCCTCTGAGCAAACCCTGTTCAAGTCAGATATATGGGCCCATCCCTGTGGGTCTCCTCTCAACTACACATCGTTCTCCCCACTCAGGGTTGAGACTGGATTACTGAGGATAGCCATGGACATTCAGGACATGCTCCTAAGACTTTAAGATGAATATCCCGCCAGGCAGCTCCAGGCATCCCATCCGGGCCCTCGGTACCCCACCAGGACTGGGCCTCAGGGGGCAGCATTCTGGGAGGAACTACTTCTCAGAACGTTGCCCCTGAAGGTGAAGCAGTGCTTGTCTCTGAAACCTGCCTTCAGAGACTGCTCTCCCACCTCCCTTCATCCACGGTTAGCGTGTTTGAAAGAAAACATGGTAAGAATGGAAATTCACTCCAACCTTCAAAGGCAGTCCAAACAAGAAATAGAAGAAGGCCACAGTAGATTAGCCACATTGGAATGCCTTCTGTCAAAACAAAACCTCTTCTACCTATTGTTTCAAGATGATAAATATACAAGAGTGATCTGGTCATTAAATGCCCCCTTTGGTCTTCGGTAGAAAACAGAGAAAAGGTTTTAAGGCTCTTCAGCTAAAGACTCCAAATGCTAAATAGTTACCTATGACATCTGATTAGCATGAAATATGTTGAGATAGGAGGTTAAGTTCAAGATCAGGATTTTCCAAGGGGGGGCCTCTTACAGACAATCTTGCAGAAATATCTTTGAGGTTGTTAAGTATAGCAAAATGTTTTATGCATATGAATGTTTTCAGCCTTCCTTTTATCTAACAACCTCCTTCCAAAAGGCTTTCATCTTTAGAGTAAAATCTCCTTTTTTTTTTTTTAATTTATTTATTTTGAGAGACAGAGAATGCACATGGGGCAGAGAGGGAATCCCAAGTAGGCTCCATGCTGTAAGCACAGAGCCTGAGGCTGGGCTCGAACCCAGGAACAGTGAGATCATGACCTGAGCCAAAATCAAGAGTCAGATGCTTAACCAACTGAGCCACCCAGGTGCCCCTAAAATCTCCTTCTTGAACCTGCTTTGACAATCCCCCCAGAACATTAGAAGGCTTATAATTTCAAGGCTACAGAGTGCCATTTGCTAAAACAATTAGCAATATAGATCCTGAAGGAATTTAAACAAATATAGTAAATAACAGACTTTTAAAGAAGTGGATTTAAATCCTCTATAGTCTGCTTTCACAGCTCTTAAAATCGAACTATAAAACACACGTAGTAGATCAAAGCTGACATGTGAAATCGTCTAAACGACTGCTCCAAGGCCTGACCTTAACCTTACTAAATATTAACCAGATAGGTGTTAACATAGCTAAAGCAACCTTACATCTGAGGGAGACCAGGTCAGCCACTGAAGCTTAGGAGTTGAAGGCAGACACAGTGGGGGGGGGGGGTCTCCAGCACGGGGAGTAGTGGTCTAGGAACAGGTGTCTAGGGAGACCCTTGTGGTAGCAATGGGCACACTGGAGGAATCATGGCTTAGCAAATATAATCATTTAGATCAAGCAGCTAATGTTCCTTGTCTGAGCCCGTACTCACAAGCTATTTGGTTTCCTATGTAGATTTGCCTTCTAGGGGAAACAATGCACTTGTCCATACTCGTGAATTCCTGACCCTGGATAGTTACAGTTCTCATTTTAATTAATAATTCAAGTTTGATAATAGGGGTTTTTTAAGTTGTTTGTTTCTTTGTTTATTTGGTTGGTTGGTTGGTTAGTTGGTTGGCTTTTTTGCCCATACATGTCACCAAAAGCCAAATCACCCCATGGTGTTCCAACAAACTTAAATTTCTGAGGCTACAAAGGTGCATGGCGTCGGGGGTATGTGAGGTTGTGAGGTTTAGGCCAAGACCTAGAGTCGACCAGAGATGGGCAGGTGGAGGAAGTTGGAGGATGGAGAGAGCAGTGTTCTTGGCAGATGGAAGCTCATGCAGAAAGGCCTTGAGACAAGGATTGGTGCTTTCAAGGAGTGAGAGAAGGGGCACATGGGGGGCTCAGTCGGTTAAGCGTCTGACTCGTGGTTTCAGCTCAGGTCACGATCTCACGGTTTCGTGAGTTCGATCCCCACATCTGGCTCTGCGTCGGCAGCATGGAGCCTGCTTGGGATTCTCTCCCTGTCTCTCTCTCTCTCTCTCTCTCTCTGCCCCTCCCTTGCTCATGCTGTCTCTGTCTCTCTCAAAAAAAAAAAAAAAAAAAAAAAAAAAGAAAAATAGGAGTGAGAGAAGACTGATGTGGCGGGACTACAGTGAGTGAAAGGGCTTGGAGTGGATTCAGGAAACCAAGCAGACCACTGCAGTAGTGCAGAAGAGATGTGGTTTGGCTTGAACTCTAGTGGTAGCAGGGGGATGGAGAGAAGTTTATGGGGGTGAGAGACAAGAAGTGGAATCATGGTAATGGATTCACGTGGGAAGGGAGGGAGAGGGAGGTGTCAAGGATGACTTCCCGAATTCTCACTTGGGTAACAAGGTAGATGGCAGTGCCACACAATGAGATGGCAGCACCCAAGAATCACTTCTCTCATGCTATACATCTTCCCGTCCAATCCCATCTCTCCAGAGCTTCAATCCAGACCTGGTGTTCAACCGTCTATGGGGACTGTTCCAAAAGTATCCATCTCAACACATGCAGGGCAAAACTCATCTTCTTCAATGACTCTGCTCTCCACCCTGTGCTGACTTACAAGGTAGCACCCTCTCGCCAACCGTACAATCCAGAAACAGTTCATCATCCTTAGCTTCATTCCCTCACCTCTAGGCAGTAGCCAAATTCTAAGGATCTTACCTCCTTGAAAGCCCCCATTGGCTCACGAATTGGCAAATATTTGTTGAATGACTATCACATGATGGAACTGGGCTTCCATAGTGAACCAGTCAGTCATGGCCTCTGCTCTCACAGAACTTTATGAGGTGAACTGACCAGTAAATGAGGAAAGGGAGTAGCATGATGATGAGGATGTAAGAGGTAGCTGGCCAACGAGGTTGAAGGAACAGTGTTTCAGTGACTTCCTCCTTCTAAGAAACAGAAGACAAGAATATATCACTAAATGCCAGGCATCCATACC